TTTCCTGGATTTGAACTAAGGATTTTAGGATATTTGAAGAGCAAAAAGAATCATTTAACGTTAAATGTACTAATTTACTACCCTTGTTTCTAGTTATGATATTAACAATAAATTACTATCTTTTTTAGCAAATTCAAAATCGTTAAATATTGAAGTCTATGTGGAAGTAATAAAAACTCCTTTCAAAGTTATTTCTTTAATATGTTTCCAAAGTACAAAAGTATTACTCGCCATTTGAATACATTTTGATTTAAATATATTACGGTTATGATATACCTCGCAAGATTTACTCAATAAAATACACTTTGTATTCAAAGTTTCAGACGAACCATGAATAAATTGGACTGTCATATAAATTTTGAAAGTTTGAAATGTACTGTACGGATTTCTGAAACTTGTAACACAACAAGAAACTGTTTGTTTCATAGATTTATTATAACAGAGTTCGGAAGAGGGGAGAATTTTACATTTGACATAATTTGATTGAAAATAATTTAATGGAAAGAATATCAAATAAGAAGTCAACAAAAAAGTCAGCGATAATTACGTCGGTTCTCCTTTCTCTTATAAGAATAGCTTTAAAACAACACAAAAATAAAAGTAACAGTTTTATAAATGCTGGTTTTATCTCAAAACAAAAGAATGTTCAAGCCTTTGACCGGCTTTTTCAGGCGAAGTCAATCATACTCTGCACAAAAATATCTAACTAAAATAAATATAACACCGGTAAAGAGACAAAAAAATAGGATTTTTAACGAAACGGTGCGGGTAGCGGTTTGTGTGTTGACTTTTAAAATTTAGTTCATAGCGCTATATAACCTGAATATTTGCTAACTTTGTGACTACATATGTATAATAGTTATCATTAAAGTATTAAAAACACCAATTAAACTGCACTGACACAAGAATACAGATGTTACAGAGTGGACGATGGATAAAAACTACAACAACATTCATAAACACAAAATATTAACAGAAATTAATATCAAAATCTAAATTAACTAACACATATTCCCATTACAGTGTCAAATTAAACCTAAAATCATAAACAACAAACATTTTCCGATACAGTAATTAATATCACTACATATGTTATTAATGGAATATGTTTGGAAATCATTGGCCAATTGCGTTCCGAATGCGTTTCTAACATGCAATGTGAAACCGCAATTTTCACTAATATTGCTAATTTTATGTATTTGTACAGGCGCCGTATGTTTTGCGGTAGCAATATATTAATTCATTCGACATTTTCCATCCACTTGACTATAATTTGAACTACTTTTTGTTATATTTGAGAGTAGCCCCAGTGGTAGAGAAAGTAAGGAGTAAAAGGTTAGCATGTTATGAAAAGGGATGAATCGCATGTTACAAGAGGAACGTTGCTTATGAGTGTGGAAGAGTACACCGGTACAGGTAGACCTAGAAAGAGATGGATGGATTGCGTGAAAGGTGGCATGATCAAGGGAGTGATGACTGAGATGACGTATGATAGAGTTATGTGGAGGACAAAAACCTGTTTCGCCACTACGGGAGTAGGATAATTTCCATCTGACTACACATGTGAAATCGCTGTATACATTATATAAATCATTAACAAGCACATTTATCCCTTATACGGAGAATCCTTCCTATATGAGGACTAATGCTGCAAAGCTTTTAGCTCCCCACTTGTATCAATCCACCGCAGTGACGCCTCGTTACCTCGAACTAACAACTGCTCACAATTAAGATGAATAGACATATCATTAGAATTTATTAGTGTAAATGCATTCCATTACTTAAGTTGAATTTATCTAAAATCTCATATACCTAGCAAAAAAAACTACTAACGATTTTTCGAACGAATGAGCATACAAAAGAGAACATCTATTAAGCGACTTACTTCCATTTGGAAAAACATGGAAATGTTCTTAATTAATTCGAATGTTCTTTTGAATTCGCGGGGATGTTACTGTTGGCTCGGCTCGGCACGGTTCGCCACGGCTCGGCTGAGGAGCGGCGCAACGAATGGAAATTAATTAGCATACCCAGTTTTAAAACTAACTCAAATGTTAAAAGATACATCTGAAACTTGAAAAGCATAAGGATTTATTCAAACTTTACTTTTTTTAATTCGTTAATTACATTAATAATTTTTGAAAACACATGCATAATTAATCTATCAGATTCTAAACATTTTCTTACTCAAGAAGCCAACTATATTAAACTACTTAAAAATTGGAATATAGAATAAATGTTATCTGAATTAAATATTTGATGAGAGCAACATTCGTTGTGAATCCTCAGCGAATGTTTATTATTTCTTGGCGAGCTTTTACCCACCCTAAATAACTAATTAACCCTGTCGCTCTCAGAGCTAATTATTTTGTCCTCCGCAATATTAACGCTCAAGCATTTTCTCAGAAAGAATATAATGCTTTTATATAAAATGGTTTCTTTTTGATTACAGGATGTAATAGCCTATTTAGTAGATGTAACAATCGATTGAGTCATCTATTAAGAAATTTAGTGTAAACCACTAGCTGAAGCTTTACTCAGTTACTATTTTTTCAGCTTTCTAACGTAGGAAAGTCAAAGTGTAAATAGTGCGACAATCTTTATTAACTTGTTTTTTTATAAAATACTCATAGGTATATAAAACCTAATTTGATAAATAAAAAACAAGCAAGACGACTAAGGTCAAACGCAAAGCTTGAATTTTGTTGGCCACCGACAGGAAGACGGTAGTGGGCTATTGTTAATAGTTTCACTTATATTCAGGGCAGCAGATTTGTTAGTCGATACATAACTAGCATTATTATTTAATATACTTTTTATTATGCAACAGTTTTCGCGGTTTCTTTTCACTTGTACCACGTCGTAATACGCTCGTCACATTCCAAGCTGATGGTAACAAATAACTTGTAGGCGATACGTCAGAAATCTCATCGCAGATCAAATGACCGAAATAATTCATTTCATTCGCCTCACACATCTGTATACGATAAATGTAAATCTTAACTAGTAATAAAATGTTCATTATCTCGTGTGTCTCTCAGGTATATAAATACCTAAGTATGAACATTAGTAAGTAAATATGTATTGCACTCCACTTTACAATATATTCTCGACATATTCTCGAGTGCATTTTGACTGTGAACTAGTCTTTATTCTTATTTCTACTTCTAAAATACGTTAGTCTTCAGTGTACGGTAAACATTCGGGTCGTTATTTCGACATCGCTCGACTTCACCCCGAGTGGTTCCGGGTCACTGCATGCTGTTTATCCAGCATCTCGAATATTCATGGATCAATTTCGAATACAGTTCTAAAATCTTTTATTATAGATTCTTTTCACTAAAGGCAATAAAAATCAAAGAAGACTAAGAAAAATCACAGACATAAAGTTTTAAAGTTAAAATCTCACATTACATTTATTACAACGCCCTCTTTTGGTAGGTTAACAAATTCTCCTTCGTGCAGGCAGCATACATGCTATAGTGCTCTTTAGATTAAGATACACGATTTCATTAAAGTGTTATTCAACATTATAAATCCTTGTTAAACATCGCCCATGGTAGTAGCCAGGGTGCCCAAGGAGAATCAAAAAAAAATTAAAATACGACCATATCAACGGCAGCTAACTTAAAGCGTCTGCTGACGACGCAAGATTTTTTCGGCGCCTACCATTTAGCACTTTGAGGGAGGTAGAGGGGGTGAAATAGGATTATTTCAGACTGTATAATTCGTAGAGCTGTGGCACCCCTATTTGTCCAGCGCCCTGGGCGATTACCATAAACGTGCCAAGCCTAACGCCGACCCTGCATGTTACAACCCCTGTCTAACTAAAGGGAATGTAACAAGCTAAGCAGATAAAAAGGTTATATTTAAATGTATGCGTCGTACTTTATCCATAACTTACCACTTACCTCGTAAAACACATTTTCAGGTATCATTATGCTAATGCAAAAAGCTTGTATTTTACCTTAAGAAAAATGTAGAAAATTTTCTTCCAGCTTTCACTCGTAACAGCGACACAAATTTTATAAAAACCCTTCAATAGCTTAGCTTTAATGCGACTTTTATGTAAAGTAGACTTTAGCTGTGTTTATTAACAACTGAACGATACTATTTTAAAAAGAATACTCGTTGTAATATGAATACAGCTCTGCTTAGGTTTTACTCCTGTTTTGCAACATTTGAGAGGTTAACAGATAAACGCATATAGTCATACATCTACCTAACAACGCCTAAATTATTAAAACGCAAATATAACAATACGAAACTATTGCTGTCAAAATTTTCGCAGTGTTGCTGCTAATTATTTCTTGAACAAAATAAGAAAACATGTAGTATGTTGGGTTGTTTTTTACGGTTTGTAAATAACAAGAGAATAAAAAAGGTTTTGTTTCACTTCTCTCAAAAAAAGGATCCCAATTTGGATAACCTTGACCTTTTATCTTTTTTCGATGTTATTCAGATATCCTCAGACTTCCCAGTAAGACATATTTTGATGACACGCGCTCGACCTTCATGATAATATTTTCAAATTATAACAACATCTACCTCAGTTTGTTTTAGTTGATAAATTGTAGTCTACGATAAACTTACTTCAAATATTTTAAATGATGAAGGCCCGAGGAATGAATTTCGTCAATCTTAAATCTGTTATTTTAAGTTTCGACTACGAATTCTTGACCATCGACCTACAGATAGTCTTCTCTCACAGATATTACTTATCATTTAATACGATTAAAATTAATAAAAACATGCACTACTGCAACAGTCTGATACTGGTTAATACATAATTTCAGTACTATATACAGCTGCTTCTAAAAAATTTGAAGCGGCAGTATGAAAAAAACAGTAACGAGGAAAAAATGTGTTAAACCAAGAGGCAAATGTTATAGGTTAACGATACCAATCATACTTGTTAGGATTTGACATTTGCCCCCACAATGTTTATATTTAAGCCCAAACTAGTAACTGTATAATTTACTTTGAGTTTTACAGCGTAGACAACTACATCAACAAAATGAAAAGAGACTTAAAAAATAAAACAATTGTGATCACCGGAGGCGCTGTAGGCATCGGATACGCCATCGCTGAAAGCTTCTTACAAAGAAATCCAAGAGTCGTCATAATTTTGAACACTAACGAAGAGCGAGGTAGGGAAGCTACAAAAAATCTAGCGGCAAAATATGGTAAAAACAAAGTCATATATTACAAGTGCGACGTTAGAACAGACTTAGAAGTTGTTTTCAATAAAATCATAGAAGAGTTCACCACTGTTGACGTGTTAGTTAACAACGCAGGAATATTAAACGATACTTACTTAAAGAAAACTATTGATATAAATGTGATCGCCTCGATGGAATGGTCCTTCAAGTTTTGGGAACACATGAGGATGGACAAAGCTGGAAAAGGTGGTACAATAATAAACGTTAATTCAATTTACGGATATAGAGCAGACCCATATGTTCCTGTCTATCACGCCTCTAAGTTTGCCATAATGGGATTTACAAAGTCGTTGGGACACGAGTATAACTTTAGTAAATATGGCGTCAGAGTAGTGGCTATTTGCCCGGGATTTACCGAAACAAAATTGGTGGAGAATATGATAACATGGACTCCTGAAATAGTGGAAGAATTTAATAATGATTACTTAAAGAAGCAATTGTGGCAGAAACCAGAGGCAGTTGGCAAGGTGGCAGTCGAAGTGTTTGAGAATGCTGACAGCGGCACGGCCTGGCTTAGCGAAGGAGGACAGCCTGCCACACTAGTGGAATAACTCAAGCGCAAATATACTAGTAATTAAGGGTGCAGGCAACCGATCCCGTGATCGTAAGTTCAAATGCCGCCATTCGACTGTTGTCGTTAACCATGTCCTCTCAAAGCCTAGAGCTTAGTTGGAATTGTTATAAGATACAATAAATATAAGTAAATTACGAAAAATGTACTAATTTTTTATTATTAAATGGGTTACAGGTCAAGATCAAGGACGTATCTTCTTATCGAATTTCCTGTTTTTAAAGTAACATACGCGTTTCATTATTTCCAATACATATTATTACGTTATCTCTTATTCATAGGATTAGCAATTTTGTATTCGAATTTCAAATAATTCTCGAAATATATTAATTGCCTCAACAAAACATGACCTTAACAAGCCAAGGTTATTCGGCGCATATTGTTCCGATCGTCAACAGACAAAATAGCTCACGGCTTGTTAATATCACAGCGTTGCTCCCTCCACGCACTTCATTGCATATCGCGATTGGTACAAGTCATCAAACCATTATTACTTTTATATCAATTGCAATAATATCAACAATACATACACAAAGTGCGTAGTTCTAGCTGAAGTATAACAGTTCGATTAAAGATTAACGACGCAGATTTAATACGACAATAGCAGACGAAAATGAAGTTTGTGCATTAGCAAGAAAAGATATTAAGACCTAATTGATACAGCCGTTTCATATTATTTCGTGTACTTATTAAACTTGCATCCAAGAGTTTTGTCACTGCCTCCTTCAATGTCGTTTAATGGTTAATTAAATATTCTTGTAGATTAATTATCTGCGTGTGAACATTTGTTAAATGATGAATGTTTTCTCTTTTCATTTAAGCGTGCTTCGTTCAAAAACAATTTCATAGAGCAACGTTTAGTGGAGCCGAGGTGACTTGCGCCACACGACATGTTTGCCTCACCATCCACGCCCGTGTGGAGCTTTTGTTAGCAGTCAACAGAATCGTGCTCGTCGACGAAATTAAAACTGCAAATTGCATTGACAGCTGAAACAAGAGCCCTGAATTACATCTCTGCTATTCTGAGATTGCTCTTCCATTCACTGACTTTGAATGGCTCAATGTCTTTTGTGTATGTGCATATTTTGTTTTGACTTGAAGTTCTAAATTTGAAATTCTAAAAGAACATTAGGTGACTGAGATAATGTGTCGCTCAGCTTTAATATTGTTAAGTGGCGAATGTCATTTATTTAAAAGTGTAGTGATAATTCTTAATGGTTTTATTAATCTTACCTGCTATCATTATGACGCTCGTCAACTCATTGCAAGTATTTATAAACTCGTTACGATACGGCTGAATTTAGTTTTGATATAATTACTCACAACGTAACGTACAGTTGCAGAAAATGATAAAAGACGTTTTTAATAAGACAATTGTGGTCACGGGAGGAGCTGTGGGCATCGGATACGCAATCGCTGAGAGTTTCTTACAAAACAATCCAAGAGTTGTCATTATTTTAGACATCAACGAAGAACTTGGAGCTGCAGCTATCAACAATCTTGCAGCTAAGTATGGCGAAAACAAAGTTGTCTTCTTTAAATGTGACGTTATAACAGACCTCGAAAGCATTTCTAATCGGATTGTAGAAGAATACAAAACTGTCGATGTGCTTGTGAACAATGCGGGAATGTTAAACGATTCGGCCTTTAAGGAAACCATAGAAATAAATGTGACTGCTTTAATAGATTGGTCCTTTAAGTTTTGGGAACACATGAGGAAGGATAAATCTGGGAAAGGTGGAACAATAATGAACATTGCTTCAATTTATGGATACATGATAGATCCTTATGTGCCTGTATATCACGCGTCTAAATTTGCTGTGATGGGGTTCACGAAATCATTGGGACATGTTAACAACTTTACTAAATTCGGCGTCAGGGTGGTGGCTATCTGCCCCGGATTTACTGAAACCGTCTTATTAAAAGATATGAAAACTTGGACTCCAAAAGTAAAGGAAGAGTTTAATGCTTACGCAAAAAGTCAGCCGTGGCAGAAACCTGAAGCAGTTGGCAAGGCGGCAGTGGAAGTATTTGAGAACGCGAAGAGCGGCACAGCGTGGCGCATTTTCGATTCACAACCTGTGATTGAAGTTTGACAATTTGACCGAGTGCATGCAATTGTATAGAAAATTTCTTGGCAATCATTTTCATTTCGAACTAAATATAAAAACCGATATTTTAAGAGTTTTTACTTATAGTTAACCAAGATAATAAATGCTGTTTATAACATTAACACAATAGATCGATTGCCCAGTTATGTGTATTGTGAATGGTTCTTACAGGGATTACTAATTTCCTCGTCGTTGTCGCCAATCGATGCTCTAGACTAGATCAGGCAACTGAGTGTGACGGTTATTATTAGTACTTAACCCACCACCACCCATGGCCCCACCGACCCTTGGATCATACGAGCCGAATATCGGGAGGGGCGCGCGGTTTAGCCGGTTTCGGCTCCGCACGCACCTTCTTGACTACCTACAAGTTATTTCGTCCGTTCGTTATTATTAATATAGTCTTTTTGAAGTAATTTTCATATCTATTTTACATTTTTCTATTATCTAGAGGGTGGTCAACTGCCCTCTACTGTCACGGCCTAGCAATTTTAACAATTTTAATACTTGATTAATAAATACTAGATTCTCGAAACTCAAAATACCCATGGGTTTTACTCTCAAACACACAACAACATACTGTCTCGTTCTCTATAATAAAACAAAGAATAAAAAAAAAAACAAAACCGACTTCCAAACAAAATACACGAAAAACAAAACAAAATGCACTAAAAACAAAGTATTCTCAAAAAAAACAGTACACTA